CACAGCGCGTCACACACCGTCATGGCACAGCCCCGGCCCCGAGTCACACACCGTCATGGCACAGCCCCGGGCCTGAGCTCACGGCGGTCACACACCGTCATTGTACAGCCCCGGGTCTGAGCTCACAGCAGTCACACACCGTCATTGTACAGCCCCGGCCCTGAGCTCACGGCGGTCACACACACGGCACAGCCCCGGCCCTGAGCTCACGGCGGTCACACACACGGCACAGCCCCGGCCCTGAGCTCACGGCGGTCACACACACGGCACACCCCGGCCGGCAGCACCGCGAGCCCTGGGTCCTGCGGGCCCGGGACAGCGGCACCGCGCCCCGCGAGCCCCGGGCGGCCGCCGCTCCCACCCCCGCAGCCGCGGGGCAGCCCCTCGGCCGCACCGGGGGTGCTGCCACGTTAGCAGCGATGCGAAGAGCAGCACAACATTTCTAGCAAGGAAACAACTGTCTTTTAATTTAATAACAAACCAGAAGAAACATTCTCTCTGGTTCTGCCTGTCCAGCATAGGCCAACAACGATTAAAAGACTGGAGCATCTCTCAAGGAAAGGCCAAGGGAGCTCAGCCTGTTCAGCCTGCAGAAGAAACTGAGAAGGGACCTTGTCAACGTGTATAAATATCTAAAGGAGAGATTCCAAGACCAGGCTCTGCTCGGGGGTGCCAACCACTGGGACATGCAATGGGCAGAAACTGATGCCCAGGAAGTTCCACCTGAACCTGAGGAAGAGTTTCTTCCCTTGCAGTGACTGAGCACTGAACAGATCGTCTAAAGAGGGTGTAGAGTCTCCTCACTGGAGATATTCCAGCTGGATGCAATGCTGTGCCACGTGTTCTGGGGTGGCCCTGCTGGAGCAGGAAACTGGGACCAGATGAGCCACTGTGGTCCCTCCCAACCTGACCCATTCTGTGATACTTCAGGAATCGGTGCTTTTTGGGAAAAAGTCCATCAAGCACAACCACCACAGTATCTCAGCTCTGCACTGCAAAGGCATGCCCAAGCAACTGGACTTGAGACAAGCAGCACAAAATGTCATTAGTTAATGGATACTCCACAAAGCTGTCTTGTTTATCTTGCTCATCTGCTAATGCAGATTAGGTAAATCCACTTATTTCCTTGTGCTGCCAACAAATACTCCTCACCCCCCCTCTGACTGCAGGCAGAAACTGATCCTCCAGCGACTGCACTGCGCTCACCCAGACACAGAGTAAGGAAGGTGGCCTTTAAACTGCTCCACTTCCGTGGCTGGCACTAAACGAAACAACCAAATGCATTTCTAAAAGGCAAAAGCAAGCCAAAATCGATGCTCAGACAGCACAGTTAGGGAGGTTGTCCCCCCAGAGCTCAAGCCAGGCTCACACACAGTGCAGAGCTCTGAGGCAGATCAGAGGACAAGAGCTACGTGTAAGCATGTGTAAAGTATTTATTTTACAACCTGGGAATGCTTAGGGCTGGGGCATGGCAGAGGTGGTACAAGTTGTAAGCCTGACAACACAAGGCATCCAAGTACTGCTGCACGCTCAGAGTTAACACAGAGCCTGCACACTGTTCCATCCTGCAGGACACAAGGGATCAGTTCCTGGCTGTGGCCACAGCAGCCTCCCCACCCTGACTGCACCAGTGATTCCACAGCCCACACAGCAGGCAGGACACAACCTTTTTGCTACAGGCCACTGTGGCAAAGAATTCCTCTGCAATTTGTTGGCTCAGGCACAGCCAAAACGAGCATTCAGCTTAAAAACCCTTTGCACTGAGCTACAGAGAGAGCATTTAGTAGAGAGGGCCAGGCAGCAGAGTTTGCCTTGAACAGTTCCATACCACATTTTTGTGCATTTATTCCAGTTCTGTGTTGGTTGGCAGAGATCAGCCCTGCCTTAAAAACTTTCCTTTTACATCATGATGTTGGCTAATGCTCAGGACTGGAAGTTACTCCTTTGAATATGAATGCAATTACAGTCCTGTTTATTTGCTCTCATTCTTTTAATTTATTCCTTTTTTATGCCTTTCATCATCACTCTGTCCCTGATCTGCCTTTACCCCTCTGTTTTCTGTCTTCCATCTTAGAGATTCATATAGTGACAAGAAGGGATCTACCACTGGTATTATCAAACTGTACCAGACTGTATCAGGCTGTACAAACTAGCTGGGTTTTTTCTCCCTTAAACCTGTTTTTGTCATCTCCAGCCCTCAAAGCCTTTACCCTTCACAGACTGAGATTTTCCACAGGCAAAGGACGCCAGTCTGATCCAGAACCATCAGCACATCCAACAGGAAAGGAGCCTATTTTTCGATTCTCGATGGCCAGGGTTTTGGGGAAGGAACTCTGGGAAACAGTGTTGTCTTTTACAGCAATACAGAGAACATGTAAATAGCACATCACTTCTTGAAACCCAAGAACAGAAAACACTCAAAAAGCAGCACTTTGGAGATGCCTGGAACCCAGAACATGCAAATTATTGTGTCATAAACACACTCATTTGCTGCTTTCTTACAAAGCAGAGAGAGCTGCACTGCTAACAGGAAGAGAGAAGAACATGTTTGTGATGTTAGTTGTTTGCCTCTACTAATAACTGAGCTTTTGATTTATTCTAAGTTTTTAATTTGGTGGCTACACTTTCCACATTTTCAAGGCTTTTTTGTTTGATCACTTACATCAAGTAAGACAAAGCTCTCCTCTATAATTTAGAGCTTTGATTGTTCTGGAGTGGATTATTCACAAGAGATAGTAATAGACTGAGACTAAGAGCATTGGAAATAGGTTAAACAGTCCCAGACATGGTTACTTGACTATTAAATACTCTGTTCCTTAGACAGAAATACTCTGTGGCTGCAGATGTCCAATTCAAAATGTCATTCATTCAGATCTGTACAACAGTCACCCAGAAGACTCTAAACAGGCTCTGCTGTAACTTGCCTCTCGTCACAGGATACACGAGCCAAGAGCAGTAGGGGATGCAGAGCTTCAAACCCCTACAGGGATGGCTGTTTATGATCCCATTCTTTGGCTACGATGAGGGAATCACCACAACCCTCTGAGCTAGAATGAAACAAGGCATCAGGTTGTAAATAAGTTTTACTAAAAATATTTGAGCAAGGTATCACAAAGTTTTTTACAACAGCTGCTGAAATATCCAGCATTTAAGCCATCCATCCAGGCGCAGTTACAAACCACAAAAAGGGCAGCAGATTTTAGACACTGTATGTGTTACAAAAAGAACCAAATCTACTTCAAAGTCACTCATAAGATCTGTCATCCAAGTACCTCTAAACAGGTTCTAGGCTATTCTGGTAAACTAAGCAGGTGTAACTGAGTTAATTCTGGATTCAGCTCACCAAAAAACAGCATGAGAAGGATGTGTACACTTACAGTCAGGATAGAGCAGAGAGGGTGGCAGGAACGCCATCAGCTTCCCCTCAGGATTTCAGAGGTCGGTGGGTGTGTGGTTCTATCTGTGAGGCACCACTGCACAGACCCTTTTACAAACTGAAGGGACTGATGACAGCTGTAAATGCAGAGACAAGGTCTGATCTTTGTCAGCACTGGAGTGCCAGTCATTCTACTGGATAAACCAAAATGATGGGTTTCCTTTGCAGAACACACTGTAATTCCATCAGTTTACTCTTGACATCCAAAGGACTTTCAGAGCTTAAAGCCATTGCTACCGGAACATAGGAACCTGCTGCTTTTGGGTGGATTACTCCCAAACCAGGCCATGCTGGTGTTACAGTCCCAGCAGTGTCTTTGCCTCCTCACTCTGTGCCAGGAGGGTCTCACTGGCATACTTCTGGAGGAGCTCCATCTTCTTCCTCCGCACAAGCGCTTCCTCAATCTGCAAAGAGAAAAACAGGATGGCATTTAGCTTAAGTGAGATGCTGAAACCCAGGATGCTCAGCAACGGACAGGAGGAAGGAAAACACAGCAAACAGCCTGGGAAAGGGCTGTGTACTAGTGTAAAAGTAGTGGAACTATGATGAGTCAGGAGTACCCTTTTTAATACTCAGATGAAGCTCCTGGAAGTCAAAAGAAGCAGTAAAACAGATGCCTGTTTCTGATCTGTGCTCCTACCCTTGTTAATCAGAGTGTTAGCTGCCATTTCATTATGATCTGTTCCAAATGATTCCCTCAGATACAGCTTTAGGAAATGCAGAACTCATGGGTCTAGGCCACAGGAGTCCACACCTCTGAACTAACATTTAGTGAGCGTGCCCTTCACATCAGCCACAGCCAGGAACCTCTGCCCTGCATTTTGCCTGGAAGTGCCACTGATATCTGATCCTTTAAGAAGCTTCAAAGATCTACTAATAACAACCTGCACGACTTGTTTTAGTCTCAGTAATGATTTTATATTTGTCCAGATCGCACACAGCATCTCTCAAAACAAGTGTTCTGAACCTTGATTTTTAGTAATTCAGAAAGAACCTAGAAGGCACAATCCTGTAGGCATAAGGTATGGAGTGATTTGCCACTAAGAAAGAGAAACAGCTACATAACTCCAGAACCTTTTTGCCTGGGTTGTGCTTCAAACAACCTGTCACTGTGAAGGTAATAAACACCCTAGAGCAGTTTCAAAATATAACAATAAATTCAAGGTCATGCCACCAAAATAATTTTAGAAAATTTATGAGAACAAACCCTGCAATTCAGAAATCATCCCCTTAAATTTAAAAAAGCACACCATCAGCAGAAAGGCACAGTGCAGATATAGTAGACAATCCTGGTTATTGATCATAGCACCACGACACTTTCCAATTTATGGAATATTTATGAAGGTTTTGGAAATTCTCAGGTGAAAAGTGTTATAGCAATGGTACCACAACACAACCACAGTATTTGCAAGAGAAATAAACAGCTGCAGAGTCAAGTCACAGAAATAACCAATTTAGGGCACTTTTACTGATGATGTGACATAAGTGAAGATCTGCCTTGCAAAAGCCAGCGTGCATCTCTGCAACCTAATTTTATTATGTCTTACCTCCTGCTGAGTTGGCACTGGAACATGTGCAATGAATTTCTGTTGGCCTTCTTCTCCTTCTCTTTCCTTGCCACCTTCCTCATCAGACTAAAAAGTGAAAAAATTAAGCCACATCAAGTTTATTTTCTATAGAGGTCATAAAAAAACCCCTTTTTACTTGTTTTGCCAG